CCACTGAGTTTCAATAGACATGTACTTTGATATCTAGGTTAAATACTAAACTATTTCCCCTGTCAGCTGTTCACAAATTGCTCAGAGCAATTTTTCTGATAGAGTTGTTATCAGACTTGGCACTGATAGGTGATGATCTATGTTTCCTCATCACTTTATTTCTCTAACAGAAAAATTCTTTGGTTCATGAAGATTGTTTTCAAATGGTATTAAATCATTAGAAATATACAGAGAAACAATCACAGGAAGAATAACTTAGAATTTTTCACCATCTAAAGTGTATATTTGTGTATAAATAACAGTAAATGTTACAATGAAGACACGATAACCATGATGTAGTCCTCTGTTTAACACACCTGCCTCCTATCTATACCCTGAGCCTGTCCGCCTTAGGTTTATGGGTTGAGAATAAAAAGAAATGATTTCATACACAGCTGCACAGTGTCACCATGACAATTATACAATGTTGCTTTCCCTTAATGTGTTATATAGAGCAGTAATAAACATGCATGCCACATCATCACCTATTTAACTCGACCAATAAGAATGCTGAAGAAATTGTGTGTCAAGGGAGATAACTCTATTTTGGAAAGCCATGACAGATATTTTATGATTGACACACTAATATGGTAATTTTTGTCAGGTTTTGTATACACATGATGGTATTCGATGGTGAAGGATACATGTTGAGGTGTTACATCACAATATGGTATGTTTGACCTCCGACCTGTAGACCAATACAGAAAAGCGGAAGAATAATGAGAGACTTCCTGTCATGGACACCTTTTCACTGCTGTAAAGCTTCTAAAAAGGACACCTGTTCCTTGTAAAGTTTCTAAAACAATCTTTATGATATACCCTGATATCACTGTTCATAAAATTGTTGCTTTTTAATAAAAGTTTTGTAAAAACATGCACAAATTTTCAATAAAGTTTATGCAAATAAAACATAGTTTTTATTGAGTAGGTTAATGGAGATTTTAATCCAATGTGTTAAAACCAATATTTTCTAATAAATCTGACAACATTAGAAAATATTGGTTTTAAGAGATAAATGTTTAAGAAGAAAAAAACATCATCATAAGTCATCTTAAAATGGCTTACATATAATATAAAGTTTTAATGCTCGTTGTTGTACACTATTGATAATGTAGGTTATGTGTGTCATATGTCTACTATGGAAACATTTTCATCAGTTAGAATAAGTCATCCATAATTTATTGTATAATATGGTTATCAGTTTGTAGATTTGTTGGATTCTAGACTTCAGAAAATCCATTGTGTTTGTATCTTGTGTCACAGTTATGGAGGACTGGTGTAACTTTTCACTTAAAACCAGATGTATTTAAATGTGACAATGTCAAAGTAAATAAGTCCTAAATATCAATCTTATACTACATTAACAAGGTTAAAGTCCTCTAGATCATTTAACACGAGGGGTCAACAGTCTGGGGTCCACTTATCTTAGGGACAAATTAAATACTACCTGTCTTTTTAAATGTAAAGGGTATACGCTTACTAGATGTAGAAAATATTACAAATTCCACAGGTAACTTCAAATTCTGAAATAGGTGTGAAAAAAACAAGGCTTTACATATCATTTATTAAGGGGATTAATCGAAGAAAACGCCATGAAATTACGGCAGTGTTTGTTCATGTGACTGGTTTGGTCAACCGTCTTTCAGGGTTGGTTGGTTTGTTACAGGTTTTTTGCTTTACAAATTTTGTTACCACTACATTTTGTCTCAATGATATGTTATTGTTCTGGTCCTTTTTAAGTGGTAACATTACGTAGAAAGCCAACTCGCATTTCACTAGGACATGCAAATGTTAGTTTTGATCACTTCAGTTCCCTGTCATCTAATCCTTTTTTTATTTAGACTTCCTGTTCTAGTATATTAGCTATTAAATTTGATTGTTATCAAATGAAAAATTAACTGGTATGGTTGTTGTAAAAATGTATGAAGTTGTTGAGACAGAAGATGTTGTAATGGTAATGATGAGATTTGATGAGATCAATGTGACAAGGTTGAGGTGTATGAGTATGTGAGCTTTGTTTAAGCAGGGATGTCCTTTTTCAGCTCAACTTTTCCCTGACTATTTAAGGCTATGTACCCAAAGACTGATGTGATTTGGTCAGTTTATATTGAAGAAGTAACACTCGAAAGTAATCAACTCAAATATTTTTTGCAAAATGGACAAAATCACTGAAAGATCAGGGATTCAATATTTGCATAAGAAAAGTCTAGCATCTAAGGATATCACTACAAATATGCAAGCAACACTAGGGAATGATGTCCTTTCAAATGGTCAATAAAGTTCATGATATGGCTGACAGGTGTGTTACAGAGATTTATAGCCAGTACAATTGAGATTTTTACCTGAAAAAATACATTCCATTCTTACAGAAATTCTTGCAGTTAGAAAGCTCTCAACCTGTTGGGTACCAAGACTTCTGACAGTTGATCAGAAGTACATCACGCAGGCAGACTTTGTCGCATGCTAATCTGAACCTTTTAGAGGCAGAATCTCCTAACTTTCTGCAGAGGTTTATGACATGGATGAAACATGGCTCCATCATTACACCTCAGAGGCCAAACAACAGTCTAAACAATGGAAGTACTGTGGTTCACCACTGCCAAAGAAGGCAAAGACTGTTCCATCAGCTGGAATGGTTATGGCCATGGTTTTCTGAGATGCTGGTGATATTCTAATGGTAGATTATCTGTAAAAGTGACAAGCAATCAATGACGTATATTATGCATCACTTTAGTCAGTTAAGAGGAAATATTCAATTCAAGTGCCATGGAAAACTGGTGTGTTTTTCCACCAGGACATTGCCCTTGTTCACAAGTACGTCATTGACATGACTGTCATTAAGGACTGTGGCTTTGAATTGATTGAGCATCCACCTTATTCACCTGATCTCACACTATCAGACTTTAATCTATTTCCAAAATTGAAAAATGCCATTTCCAGTACCCATGATTTGTCAGATAATGACATCATACATGCATGCAGTGGAGGACTTTCTGAATGGTCAAGAAAAGGACTTCTTTAAAAATGGTCTTTAGGCCCTTAAACATTGTTGGAAAAATGAAAAGATACTGAAGGGGATTATGTTGAAAAATAATGCATTATGTCTGTCAAAAGTCAAATATGAGACCCACAACTTATTAATCTGGCCTTGTTTGTGTAATTATACTGACAATAATGCTTCATGACATTGACAATGATGATGATGATGATGATGATGACGACAACGACGACGACAAGTGTCTGTGAGAGCATGCATGGTATATTTTTGTTTTGTGTAAATTGTATTGTAGTTAATTGAAAATCTGGAAGAAATTGAAGAACTTACAAAAATAAGAATTACTGAAATTCATTTCCAACAATTTCAGTATTAGTCATATGATTAACCATAAGGATTGTTGTAAAATATTACCATGTGTTAATTATAATTGTTCGCCAGTTAAGATAGATATTATATGACTTGGTCAGTTATAAGGGTGTTTATGGTACACGATATGTACAGGGTTCACCATTAGCATTTAATACAAAATTTCAATTGTTTCACATGTGACTAATAACAGCACAAATAGTAACTGGGACTGAGGGATGGGGAGGTGTGTGTGTATATACTGATAGAGAACTGTGTGTTATATATAGATACATAGCTACATGTATCAGAGAAGGTCTTTGAACATGTCTGTAGACTAAGATAGCACTACACTGGACCCTGTGGCTGCTACTCAGTATATATTTGGCTTGGAGTAACTCCAGAGAGACTGTATTTACAACTGGTTGAGCTCAATGGTCCACTGTCTGAACAAAAATGCTCAAGTTTGTCAAGAAATCACCCAAGTTACCAAGGAAGGAAGAAATTAAGTATTTTTTATTAGTTCCGTTTTTTAAGAAATATTAAGTTTTTAGAATTTTCGTTGTTTTTCAGTTGCTAATGCAAGTGTGTTTGAATGTAATGGATTTTGTCTTCCTTATCACTTGAAATGGCATGGATCACTTTCTTGTGTTACAGAGAAGTGCTAATGTTTTCTGAATCGTAAATCATGTATACAGACACTGCTGGGATTGTGTCATATAGACGTAGACCATGTGTGTGATGTTTAGTTAATCATGGAAAAATTATACACTAGCTTTAAGTATTAATTAATAAAGAATTCAGAATGATACTGATTTATGTAGTTTTAGGATAAAATGTTTTATCAGTCTGAAATGTCTGTCAATTGGAGAAGATTTACAATGTTTGTATAGACCAAGCACATCTTGACATCATCATCTGAGAGTGTGTACCATTATGACAGAGGAGGGAGTTTGTAACTGTGTGTGTCTTTATCTGTCAGCACCACACTTGTTGTAAGATATCATTGCTGTGTATTTCCTCCTTTTTAATCATTTCCAGGTGAAACCCAGAGCTCATCATTATGGTTTTGATGTTGAGAATTGATTTAATCTAGCATGTATTCTGGAATACCTACAAAATCTACTGTTACTTTTGTCCAGGATCATGTCTCTGATATAATTTAAAACAAGAATCAAAATTATTTGGGTAAATTTGACAATTCTTAATTGATATTTTAATTGGCGCGGGCATCAGGCTCAAGATTTGTAACAGAACTTCAACTTGATGTCTTAACTCCGAAACTTCTGCACAATCACAGCAAAGGCAGATTCAAAATGTATAACAGTGGTGCCTGGCTTGTTGAACCATTCTTTACAAAATAAATGATTTAGAATAAACAACTGTAAAATAGGATATGGTCGAATGATTTAAACCATGTTGGTTACTTATGTATAAACAATCAGATATTCAAAGTTCTGTAAATGTCATTCATACAGAATGGTTTGTCATAAGTTGAGTATACTTTTGTGATGTTCGACGTAGGTAAGATACGACAATGATTTTACAGGTAAATTAAATTACACAATTTACAGGGTATAACAGGTTTATAATGTGTTTGTATTTTTGGTTCTTACAGATGCATTACTGGCCGACCTTCAGTCGACGACTGCACAGATCAACCAGTATCAGTATCAACCTCCCCAACAGCAGTCACCGTCGATAGAGCAACGGCAACAATCCCAACAACAAAATCATAATCACCAGCCACCGTCCCAGGTCCAGCGCCAATACAGTGACCAACAGAACCATCAGGACGGGGCATATGATCAGGTCCAAATCTCCAACTCATATGACCATCATCAGGTGCCACAATCACCGGGGTACAACAATCGACAGGTGCCTCAGTCACCAGGGTATGATAATCGTCAGTTCCCACAGTCACCTGGATACGACAATCGCCAGGTGCAACAATCAGTAGGATACGATAATCGCCAGGTGCAACAATCAGTAGGATACGATAATCGTCAGGTGCCGCAGTCACCAGGATACGATAATCGACAGGGGCAAAACTCACCTGGTTATGAACATCAACAACAGGTACTGAGGCAGCACAGCTATCAGAGTCAGAATAGTCATCATTCATCAGGACAGAGGAGTGAAACCCCTCCCCCACTTCCTCCTCCCCCGCCCCAGGAGGTTCTCGACAGTATACCCCCGCCCCATCAGTTTGATGAGGTGAGTATACTAGACCTGGCAAGCAACAGTTTGGTAGAAGATATTTTAGACATGTTATATGCTTGTAAAGCCATGTGTTTATCAATGGTGTTCATGATCACAACTTAAGGATTTTCATAACATGATGGTTTGTTGCCATTGTTTTTGTTAGAAGGATGTTATCATCACACCACAAGACTTGCTTGTAATGAACTTTTTTCTATCTATTTCATTAGGAAATAAGATAATGAACGTTATTACTTTTGAAAATCGATTGAGGGGAAGGAAAATAACAAATAGATAAGTTGGAACAGTATGTGAGCAATTAAGTTGAATGTGGATATGATAAAGGCATATATACATCAGGACTAACAAAGTACAGGTGGACACACAATTGACCCAGTGTTAGACACATTCCTGGTGCATTCTGTACGACAATATGACATTCCAATCATGTGCAATACACCACATCCATCTTGCACATCCGTAACTCTCACGTAAACATTATGTATGTGTATATAGGTAACACTCCTAGATTGTGGATTTCCTGACAGGATAAAGCTTGTTGTATTTTCTAGTGTATTTTGCATAGCACAACAACTCTCTTCCTTTCTGATGTAGGCAATACATGATGTTTTCTGTGGAATCATTTACATGTTGATAAAATCAGCAGATCACACTGTTCTAACCTGAATGTGAATTCCTCACAGACGCAAGCAGACTTGGAATCTGCAAACCTTACTTATAATTTTACAATTCAGTTTAAAAAAAGAAAAGTTGTAATTAACTAGTTCTTTATAAACATACATCAAAGAATAGTTATCCAAACACTATTGTACAGTGGTATTGTTTTGAAGTATAAATAGCTCTCAAAGAGGTTTGTTTTGCTGCCGATATGTTGTTTTTATTCTACAATAGACACTCTGTCTTGTTGTGAGTGGTAGGTAACTGATGCTGTACTGACAGGAATTGTTAGGGACTTTTGTCTGTTAATAGACAGAAGCCTGTCTAAACATTGTAATGAAGGTTTTTGTGAATGTCTAAATACCATGTATTGATAGATAGGCTTGCAATGTCAGTGAATTTACATTAAGATAAGTAGAGACCTATTCTTGGAATGTCTATGTTAATTTTGGCTTGTATTTAATTGACAGTAATAAAACATGTGGTTTCTGACAGAGGTGTACATCGAGTTAATAGATAAAGGTGGATTCTAAATCAGGTTTGACTGTAGTTATGGACAGGTGGTCTCTAAGTCAGATTTGACTGTAGTTATAGACAGGTGGTGTCTAAGTCGGGTCTGACTAGTTATTGACAGGTGGTCTCTAAGTCAGGTCTGACTAGTTATAGACAGGTGGTCTCTAAGTCAGGTCTGACTAGTTATAGACAGGTGGTCTCTAAGTCAGGTCTGACTAGTTATAGACAGGTGGTCTCTAAGTCAGGTCTGACTAGTTATAGACAGGTAGTCTCTAAGTCAGGTCTGACTAGTTATAGACAGGTGGTCTCTAAGTCAGGTCTGACTAGTTATAGACAGATGGTCATAAGGGAAGTTTGTTGTTTTTACTGTTATAACAGACAGGTGGTTCCTAACACATGCAAGTTTTACTCCTGTTAGTGACTGGATCTCTGAAGCAGGTTTGATTATATACCTTTGGTGTAATTAAAAAAGGATTTGATTGTTTCTATAGCTTGAGAATATTTTAACAACTTTGAATTATCTTTCGTAAAGTTCTAAAAGAACAGTATTTTTCATCTGTTCCACTTCTTTGATATCTTATATTACATTTAATGAATGACTGTTCCCCATCCTTTAAATTTGTGAGCTATCCTCTATCTACCTTTGGTCATTTTTTTTTATGTGTGGTGTACATGTGAAAAGGCCAGATTTAATGGGAGAAATGTGGTGTTTTTCTAGACTGACAGAGAATTGATTTCTTCTTTGGTGATTACACTGGTTAGTAGCTTTCATGTGATAAGAGAAGAGATTGCTTTATTACAGAAATATGGTACCTGTCTTTCAAGTTAACAGTGCATGTTGTATTTACTTAGATAACATAGTCCTCTACCTCAGGAAGGATGGCAACTTGCCTGGTTTTATAGAGATAGTGAGATTGGATATAGAAATGAAGGGTGCAACTTGTCAAGTATTTTCCTTCTGGTTATAATACGCATGTCCTGATTAATGATTACTCAATGTTACCCCAAATCAAAAGTACTTTCACTCAATATTAAAAGTACTTTATGTGAAATATTTAATGTTTACCTTTTCTCTGAATGAAAATTACTTTGAAGATCAGTTCTACTTATAATAACATGCCACATAAGCTTTAAGGCATTCAACGACTGGAAAAAGCATGTGATGGGCTTCTAGCTCACTGTTTTACACTATGTAAACTGTAACACTATTAGGTGTCAATAGCTCCCTCAGTAAAGCATGTGATGGGCTTCTAGCTCACTAAGTATTACACTATGTATACTGTAACACTATTAGGTGTCAATAGCTCCCTCAGTAAAGCATGTGATGGGCTTCTAGCTCACTAAGTATTACACTATGTATACTGTAACACTATTAGGTGTCAATAGCTCCCTCAGTAAAGCATGTGATGGGCTTCTAGCTCACTATGTATTACACTATGTATACTGTAACACTATTAGGTGTCAATAGCTCCCTCAGTAAAGCATGTGATGGGCTTCTAGCTCACTAAGTATTACACTATGTATACTGTAACACTATTAGGTGTCAATAGCTCAGTAAAGCATGTGATGGGCTTCTAGCTCACTAAGTATTACACTATGTATACTGTAACACTATTAGGTGTCAATAGCTCAGTAAAGCATGTGATGGGCTTCTAGCTCACTATGTATTACACTATGTATACTGTAACACTATTAGGTGTCAATAGCTCAGTAAAGCATGTGATGGGCTTCTAGCTCACTATGTATTACACTATGTATACTGTAACACTATTAGGTGTCAATAGCTCAGTAAAGCATGTGATGGGCTTCTAGCTCACTAAGTATTACACTATGTATACTGTAACACTATTAGGTGTCAATAGCTCCCTCAGTAAAGCATGTGATTGGCTTCTAGCTCACTAAGTATTACACTATGTATACTGTAACACTATTAGGTGTCAATAGCTCCCTCAGTAAAGCATCAGCCAAGTATTGACCATACAACTTCAAGTGACTATCAGAGGTGTATGGTTCAATCCCTACCTGGGCTATTTCTTCCCTAGGAAGCTGAGATTACACGCTGTCCAGTGCTATCTTGGTTATGTCCTCCTCTGACAAGATGCTTGATTTTGATAGCACATGACATGCCCCCTGTATGTTGTGCAGTGAGTTAGCCAACTAAAGGAAGGCAATGATGTAAGGGACACTGCATGGTAGTCTAAGTTATGTGGGTACCACAGTATTCCAGGAAATAACCTTACTGGTTTTGCCATGATATTATTACTCATCAGAGATTGGGTGAACAGAGTCAGTGACCTTATGTAGGTGCTGTGGGTGGCATGGTTGTTCTGGGGTTGTATATAGGTGATTTACAGGGTTGCTTGTGGTGATTAATGGTATTCATTACGTGATGCAGAATACAAAATTAATTCAACAGACAGAATCCCTCACGTCATGAGTCCATCAATCCAATAAGGATAAAGCATGCAGTCTCAATCATCTTTTTCGTTACCATTATAGAAGGCTAATAGAAGCTTCAAATACACAGGCTGTTTACAGGGTGATAAACACAAATACCCAGGCTGTTTACACAGTGATAACCAAACAAGTTATATAGCTCAGCCTCAAATACCCAGGCTGTTTACACAGTGATAACCAAACAAGTGATATAGCTCAGCCTCAAATACCCAGGCTGTTTACAGGGTGATAACCAAACAAGTTATATAGCTCAGCCTCAAATACCCAGGCTGTTTACACGGTGATAACCAAACAAGTTGTATAGCTCAGCCTCAAATACCCAGGCTGTTGACAGGGTGATAAACAAAACAAGTGATATAGCTCAGCCTCAAATAACCAGGCTGTTTACACAGTGATAAACAAACAAGTTATATAGCTCAGCCTCAAATAACCAGGCTGTTTACACGGTGATAACCAAACAAGTTATATAGCTCAGCCTCAAATACCCAGGCTGTTTACAGGGTGATAAACAAACAAGTTGTATAGCTCAGCTGCAAATACCCAGGCTGTTGACAGGGTGATAAACAAAACAAGTGATATAGCTCAGCCTCAAATAACCATGCTGTTTACACAGTGATAAACAAACAAGTTATATAGCTCAGCCTCAAATACCCAGGCTGTTGACAGGGTGATAAACAAAACAAGTGATATAGCTCAGCCTCAAATAACCAAAATTACACAGTGATAAACAAACAAGTTATATAGCTCAGCCTCAAATAACCAGGCTGTTTACACGGTGATAACCAAACAAGTTATATAGCTCAGCCTCAAATACCCAGGCTGTTTACAGGGTGATAAACAAACAAGTTGTATAGCTCAGCCTCAAATACCCAGGCTGTTGACAGGGTGATAAACAAAACAAGTGATATAGCTCAGCCTCAAATAACCATGCTGTTTACACAGTGATAAACAAACAAGTTATATAGCTCAGCCTCAAATACCCAGGCTGTTTACAGGGTGATAAACAAAACAAGTTACATAGCTCAGCCTCAAATACCCAGGCTGTTTACAGGGTGATAAACAAAACAAGTTACATAGCTCAGCCTCAAATACCCAGGCTGTTTACACGGTGATAACCAAACATGATTACATAGCTGAAAGCCTCAAAAAGACATTTTTTTGTAATACAAAATGTACAGGCAAACTAATTGTTCATGTGATGGTATTAAACACTATTATGATGATTTCGTGAAAGGCACAGAAAGACATTTTTCTGTAATACAAAATGTACATGCAAACTAATTGATCATATGATGGTATTAAACACTATTGATAACCAAACAAGTTATATAGCTCAGCCTCAAATACCCAGGCTGTTTACACGGTGATAAACAAAACAAGCTATATAGCTTAGCCTCAAATACCCAGGCTATCATATGATGGTATTAAACACTATTATGATGACTTCGTGAAAGGCACAGAAAGACATTTTTCCGTAATACAAAATGTACAGGAAAACTAATTGATCATGTGATACTACAGATATTATATTTACTTCCTGTTTTACTTTAGGTTTGGGAAACATTCTTATTTTTTGATCAGAAGACTTTCACTAAAATGAAAAGTTTTCCCTTTTTTGAGTTTTCTATACTTCAGTCTTGCGAGAATCAATGTAACATACTTATGTAACAGTAAAAACTTAGAGTGTAAAGATAATGCTGGAGAATGATGTTATATACTTTATTATTTATCTCTCGACACTTATTTACACAACCACATTAACATAAACAGTATTGATTTACTACTGCTTAGTGAATATTCTTGTATGTGTTTGATAGCTCCAGAGTAAATTGCTATAACATGATATGCTTTCTGACGGAGATTATAAGTTTAGGAAATCTATAAATGTATTCAAAATAGGAAACGTTTCCCCACAACTGTCAAGAGGGATATCGACTCAGATTTGAATGTTTACTGATGATTAACCCAGCATCGATATAGAAAACAAGTGATTCTAGTTATACTATACAGTCAGGACTTTAAAGTGTTTAGGCCTGTTACCAAATATTTTGATAGTTTTGACTCAGTAGCTGAAGAATTTTGAAATCGATAAAAGTTATTGAGTAATTGCTATACAGATACAACCTGACTCACCTGTCACATTCTGTATTCTGCCTGATCACAGTGAACCATTATTGGTCTATTTCTGTTTGTTAACAGGCACCCGTTTTACTTCTCATGGTTGGCAATCCTGAAATATTTCAATGTTAATATGTGATAAACCTGGGGTAGTGTTCTAAGTGTGATGAAGGATGTTTGTGATCTTTAGAAAGTACATGTATATAACTGAAATGTGCAGAGATATTATACCTCAAGACTTTAACGAGATTACAGGTGTACATTTGAAAATGCAATTGTAACATATTTATGATCGGAGATATTGAATTATATGATAATAATGATCATGATTTTGTTTGACAGCCATTATATGAAGGACAGAGTGTGACTGTAATCCGTGATCGAACACCAAGTTCGGGTACCTCTCGAAGTTCAGACCCATATTTCGATAACAAATCTCAGGCATCGCCTCCAGCACCTAAACAGATGTCGACATTGACCAATAACCTATCCGAGCTGGACCAGCTCCTGCAGGACCTTAATTCGGCCCAGTTTATGGCTGAGGTTGACAAACGGAATGTCTGTACGTATCTGCGATAATGTTCTTCAAAATTTGTCTGTGCATATGACTTAGGACAAATTCTATGTCTGTATTTGATGAAAAACCAAGTACCTGGTAACCATAATGTATCACTTGTAATTTTCTGTGTACCTTCTCTCATGGTTTGTCTATAGCTATGATGCAATAATATTGATGCATTGATCTTTTCTTCATATAAAAATTACAAAAAAACTACGACTGTGTGTCTCTAATACTGGTATATTGACAACTCCTGTATCAGCAGGCATGATATAGATCTGATCAAAACAAAGCCTGTGATTTTATCTGATGGAAAATAATGTCTCTAACATTATATTGGTTATAGAAAATAATGGAATAAGTAATGATAGACTTATTGTATCAATGATTTTCAGCTAATCAACATATTGTAAGTGGAGGAGGAGGAGGTGGAAATGGTAGACTTATTGTATCAATGATTTTCAGCTAATCAACATATTGTAAGTGGAGGAGGAGGAGGTGGAAATGGTAGACTTATTGTATCAATGATTTTCAGCTAATCAACATATTGTAAGTGGAGGAGGAGGAGGTGGAAATGATAGACTTATTGTATCAATGATTTTCAGCTAATCAACATATTGTTAGTGGAGGAGGAGGAGGTGGAAATGGTAGACTTATTGTATCAATAATTTTCAGCTAATCAGCATATTGTAAGTGGAGGAGGAGGTGGAAATGGTAGACTTATTGTATCAATAATTTTCAGCTAATCAACATATTGTAAGTGGAGGAGGAGGAGGTGGAAATGGTAGACTTATTGTATCAATGATTTTCAGCTAATCAACATATTGTAAGTGGAGGAGGAGGAGGTGGAAATGATAGACTTATTGTATCAATGATTTTCAGCTAATCAACATATTGTAAGTGGAGGAGGAGGAGGTGGAAATGGTAGACTTATTGTATCAATGATTTTCAGCTAATCAACATATTGTAAGTGGAGGAGGAGGAGGTGGAAATGGTAGACTTATTGTATCAATGATTTTCAGCTAATCAACATATTGTAAGTGGAGGAGGAGGAGGTGGAAATGGTAGACTTATTGTATCAATGATTTTCAGCTAATCAACATATTGTAAATGGAGGAGGAGGAGGTGGAAATGGTAGACTTATTGTATCAATGATTTTCAGCTAATCAACATATTGTAAGTGGAGGAGGAGGAGGTGGAAATGTTAGACTTATTGTATCAATGATTTTCAGCTAATCAACATATTGTAAGTGGAGGAGGAGGAGGTGGAAATGGTAGACTTATTGTATCAATGATTTTCAGCTAATCAGCATATTGTAAGTGGAGGAGGAGGAGGTGGAAATGGTAGACTTATTGTATCAATGATTTTCAGCTAATCAACATATTGTAAGTGGAGGAGGAGGAGGTGGAAATGATAGACTTATTGTATCAATAATTTTCAGCTAATCAACATATTGTAAGTGGAGGAGGAGGAGGTGGAAATGGTAGACTTATTGTATCAATGATTTTCAGCTAATCAACATATTGTAAGTGGAGGAGGAGGAGGTGGAAATGATAGACTTATTGTATCAATGATTTTCAGCTAATCAGCATATTGTAAGTGGAGGAGGAGGAGGTGGAAATGGTAGACTTATTGTATCAATGATTTTCAGCTAATCAACATATTGTAAGTGGAGGAGGAGGAGGAGGTGGAAATGGTAGACTTATTGTATCAATGATTTTCAGCTAATCAGCATATTGTAAATGGAGGAGGAGGAGGAGGAGGAGGAGGAGGAGGGGGAAATGGTGGGAAGGCACGACCACCTCCACCTGTAGCTCCAAAACCAGCCCGTAACGAGAACAGGAACACTGTTGATAATCTTTTGGACCAATTGGAAAGTGCACTTCCAGAGAGGGCGAACAACTACAAAGGGTAGGTATAGAATGTGTAACAGCTTTGTCATAGAGGAACAGCAGTTATGTGGAATAGCAGTATCAACTACAGGGGGTAGGCATAAACAATGTAACAGCTTTGTCATTTACAAGTTATAGTGTAGTCCTAGATAAGCAGCATCTGCTTGGAATAGGTAAAGAGTAATTGTACTATCTAGCCCTGTGTCTGCTAATTGTTTGTAAAGTGATAATTACTAGAATTACTTTGGTGATGTTTGTGATTTGTTTGTATCTCACAGCCCTGAGCCTGGTGACAATGATAATTATGAGTACACCCCTGACCAGCAGACAAATCAAGCACATACAATGAACAATGGTCAATCTCATCAAGTCAACAATGTACAACGCTACAACCAAAACAACATGGTGGCCACACAACAACAGTTACCTCCCCCTTCCACAGCCACCAGGGAGCTGGATGACCTCATGGCTACGTTATCTGAATTTAAGGTAAAGACAGGAGCATCATTCGAGGATTCAAACTTTTTCATTAGCTCCAATGGTTTAAAAGAAATACAAAATGAGGAAGAGTTTAATTCAATTTCTGAAATTCATGAAACATTTTGTAATATATATATATATATTATATTTATATTTTTTTCCACTTGTAATATTGAAATACATATTTTGCAATCATTTATTAGGTGTAGCTAATGTTAATGAAGTTATGATAGGTATGACAACTATATCTGCACTTATATCTTCTATCATTATTGAAATTCTGAGACTAATCCATCAACAGATCTCTCCTTAGTAAACTGACAAACTTGCTTCATTCATCATGCTTTCCTTGATAGTTATCTGTATGTAAAACAACTTCCTCACAATGTTAACAGCTGATTCATACATTATATAAATCTACTTGTAGGTATCTAATGCACAACAACGACAGCAGCAGATGTCGATGCCCCATGCTCGCTCGCCCTCCCCACACAGTGAACCTTCCTATGCCAAGCCACAGAAGAGTCGCAATGCTTCACAAGGGTCTGCACCGCCAACTCCAGCCCCCCAACCATCCGGGTATGGAGGGCAGCTAGAGAGCATGCTGGGTGATTTAGAAAGTGATATGAACAGACAAGGGGTTAGTACAACCTCCAAAGGCACATGTGGAGCCTGTAACCAGCAAGTGGTAGGACAGGTAAGTAAACGAAATAGATTAGGGGACTTATCTGTTTTGGGAATAACCACTAGACTCCAGGTTTGGAAGACTTATTAATGTTTTATATCCAATTTGGAAACCATACATACAGCAAATTAACTAATTTCCAGTTGGATTAGGCAAAATTTGTTCAAACTTATAAAAAAAAAAATGGGAATTTCACTCATACTTGGTGTTAATGATCGCCAGAAAAATTCTGGAGAATGAAAACAATGGAATCTTTATATAAATCAACTTTTTGCATCAATGACTCAGGTCCATTTTTTACATAATTAAACTGCCTCTTGATAAGTATATGTGCCCATAATATATCTATGTGGAAATTATTTCTTGCGCAACCTCAAATCATGACATGTTGTCTTTATAAGCATAGTGTATGGCTACTTTTTGGAAATATTTATCGTGCTTTGTCTGTGTTGCCAATGAATAGTACATTACATGTATTGACTGCTATTTCATCTGTCGGTTCTGATGTTGGTGCTGTGTATATTACAGGTAATAACAGCCTTAGGAAAGGTATGGCACATCGAACATTTCATCTGCTCTCACTGTAACCTGCCCCTCGGTACCAAGAACTTTTATGAACGAGATGGTGGTGCTTACTGTGAGGAGGACTATCATCGTCTTTTTGCCCCCAAATGTGCCTATTGTAATGGCCCGATTGTAGATGTGAGTATCTTCATTCTTATGGCCTCATCCAACAATGAATGCTAAAACATTCAGCAATTAACCTATATCTGGTAATAAGCCCACCCGTATAGATTGCTATTTAGAAAAAATGTTATAGCATTGTCCTGTCATTACCCCACACCCTGGCTCTGCCTTGCTGAGTGTAGATTTAAGTACAGTTTTGAGTTCTCTGCTGGTTCCCTGTATATTTAAATATGAACACTGATACAGTGACTGAAGTTTCGGGCCAGTATACCATTGCGATCATGATAACAGTCAGATAGTAATGTATTAGAGCACTTTAATTTTTAGAAAAAAAAACAGTGTATGGTTTGTTTAACTGGTAAAATCATTGCAGAAATGTGTGACAGCCATTGGCAAGACCTGGCATCCGGAACACTTTTTCTGTGCCCGTTGTGGACGACCATTTGGAGAAGAAGGTTTCCATGAAAAGGACAACAATGCTTATTGCAGGTATGTGTCATGGTGTAGTTGATATTATAGTATGAATTAAGTACTGTAAAGGACTTTCATTTGTCAGTAAAATGGAGTAAAGGCAAGCTATGCTAGCAGTGCTGTATTTATTATAAAAGTATTGTAAATTACACATAACTGTAAATATATACATATCTTGTTGTTTAGAAGTCACTCATTGTTTAGAAGTCACACATTGTTTAAAAGTCATACGAAGTATTTTGTTGTACAAAAGTAAAACATTGTTGTAATGGACTACTATAACTTGCACATTGTTTGTTGTACAAAAGTAAAACATTGTTGTATTGGACTACTTTAACTTGCACATTGTTTGTTGTACAAAAGTAAAACATTGTTGTAATGGACTACTATAACTTGTACATTGTTTGTTGTACAAAAGTAAAACATTGTTTTAATGGACTACTATAACTTGCACATTGTTTGTTGTACAAAAGTAAAACATTGTTGTATTGGACTACTATAACTTGCACATTGTTTGTATGCGAGTAATTCTTCTTTGTTTTATAGATAGAAATACATAGTATATTGATTCTGTTTACAGACAGGACTATCTTGAGATGTTTGCTCCTCGCTGTGGAGGGTGTGGAAATCCAATCCTGGATAACTATATCTCTGCCCTGAGTCGACACTGGCACCCAGAATGTTTTGTATGCAGGGTCAGTGATCATGTCTTCTTCAAATCTTGTCATATTTATTTCTATGTAGATTTTATTGTCAATTTCATTGAAGTAAACATGAAAGATATGTCAGGAAAAAGCTAAAGAATGCATGTCCATTGATAAATTTCAGCAATATTAACTAAAGTAAAACTAAAAGTAACATTAAAAATATATAGTATTCTGAATCCTGGCATAGTGCCATTCCAACAAGAAAACAAACAAAAAAGTAGTATTCTGGGAATTGACCAAAAATGCTTGATAATGAAAATATCTATAAAAACCAATTTGACTGTACCTTTCCAAAATTAGTATTTTATGGAAGTAAGTAGCTATTGCATAACCAACCAAACAATATGTCCCATTTTGTCATTTTGCAGGAATGTCACATGTCCTTTGGAGGGCGGAGCTTCTTCGACCATGAAGGTCAGCCTTATTGTGAAACCCACTACCACTTAAAGCGTGGTTCACTTTGTGCCAGCTGCCAGAAGCCAATCACTGGTCGTTGTATCACAGCCATGTTCAAGAAATTTCACCCAGAGCATTTCGTTTGTGCTTTCTGTTTAAAACAGCTCAATAAGGGAACATTCAAGGAACAGAACGACAAGCCCTACTGTCATCCATGTTTTGTTAAACTTTTCGGCTGATTTTTTAATTGGAATGTATTAAAAGATTGATAGAGTGTATTTAAAAAATTACATAGAATTTTACTTCAGAGTTATATGATCAGTAATTCTTCGGGTGATTTGAGAAATACACCCTCAGTGATATATACCAGTCTTCCAGCAACTGCTGCAGTTACTTCTGCACCGAACAAATTTCTACTGCTGGACTCCTGCACTGTGTGTGTATCACTAGACACTCTTCTTGAGTTTGTCTACTGCAGGACACTCAGCTCCAATTCATGTTGATCCATAGACTGTTGCAGAGTGTCATATGACTAAGGACACTTTGGCCCATGTCCGTTGCTAGGTGGGATAGGTTGATTTATGAGAACTATGTTTATTTACTGCTGAGCTTTTATGTAATAGAGGAAACACTTTCCTACTGTATGTAGAGAAATAAGGACTTGACTGAAACTGTAATATTAAAATAAATTAAAAAGAGCTTGATATACTATCTAACTATCTTTAGTCTTCACTTTTAAATTTCTAGGAATTCCACTTGTTGGCTAATTTGTTTATAGGCATGGATATCACAAGAGTTTACTGGTAGAGGAACATCCGTAATGATTTGTTTAACAAAAACTGATGTCGCTATGGGTATATGCAACATGTCACTGATTTTAGACATTGAATTTAAAAGAATATTTCACCTGGTTTGGTATTTTTTCTATTAAGCCATCATTGGTTTATTATTTTTATTATTGTTTAACACATTTAGAGCATTACTTTTTTTTTTTGTCTGTGCTATAGTTTTGCATGTGGATGATCTACCTTGTCTCCCCTGCCACCTTACTTTAAACTGTCCCTATTTCTTGATAAGACAGTCCATGTTGGTAATTCAGGGTTGCAAGGTGCATCTGATTATTATTATATATTTTTATGTGATAATTTATTTCTATACAGGTGAAAATAATTATTTTCTTGTAAATCTTATGATTGTACTGTTATGTTGTAATGCTGATAAAGTGTTTGTTGGTATTTCACATATTTGAACTTTTTTGGGTCAATTTCAGACAATACATTAATGAAAGAATGTACACAACCTCTTGTCCAATTAAATTGATGAAATGATACAAAATTTTGCAGAAAATTTTTATTTTCCTTTCAACATTAATTACTTTTGTGAAAAGACCATGTCTGCCATGGACAGGTTTCTTGTTTACAATCGATTACAAATTCTTTTTTTATGAGTTTTTTGTTTAAATCATTGACACAAAACTACCAATGCCTCCATTTCATGTTTGACATTGTGTTGTTAAGGTGTTGTTGGATTTGTGCCTTGTTTGTGATATTGACAAACTGGTTTCCATGCCAACACTGAAAATGTGGACTAACCATGGACAACCAAATATTATGCATTATGAGTTAATGATAAATCTATATCATAACCAAAACAAATTGTCATTATACAGTTTCTCTTGAAATGGAAATTTAATTATTCTGTGTATAAGGCTATATGGTTTGAAGAGTTTGGTTTTTACAGAAGTTTTTCCTACTACATTATGTTTTTTTGTAACACAGTTATCTGCTCTTGTACACAGGTGTTGATTGTTAAGTCATTAGTTTTCTTCAGAAAATTATGTTGTTTTTTCATGACGTTACTCTCATAAACAAATCACAAGAGCAGATAACTCTGTATTATGAAAATACAATTTAAAGCAAAGTCAGCTATCAGAAAATATCCTGATTTGAACCTTTATGTTCAGTTTCACTTCGTGTTGCGATGATCATCTTTTCCTTCTCCCATAAGAAATATGATTGAATAAATAGATAAAGACATATACAATTACATGTATATCCTTTTGATACTTTGATTAAATGATTGATCTTTTGAATGTGTGGAGAATTTTATTTTCATAGAAAAAAAAATGCCTGGATAATGTTCAACAATTGTGTTAATAATATGAAGTAGGGAGAAAGAAAACAAGCCTTATTAAGGCAAGACAAAAATACACAGACAAAATATACTACCCATAGTGGTGGAAATAGACAGGTACGCCCCATATCAGTGGAAAAATAAAGGCATGCTTATGCTGTGGGACTGGTGCCCCATGTCGCACATTTTTTAAACTACGTACAGTATATACATGGATTTATATGGTATCATAATATTTAAACTTCTATGTGAAATGTATTTTTGTTACAATGTACTTGATTATACCATAAAAGAATATTGTAAATTTCACTTTCCAAAGACTAAAGTATATATCCTGGCCGGATTTGTACTGAATGTACTTTTGTTGTATATATTATATTGTGTACCACTAGACACATACATATTATATGTAAACAAACCTTCGCTCTTTCTGTATACTCATCATTTGAGCCTCTCAGCAGAGCTGTTGCAATACGCTTCAAATAAATCACAAAATATATACAACAGAGTTGGTTGTTTTTTTTAAACATCACACGAATATTGACTTCTTAGTTATCTCCCTTCCAAACTGAATTTGGTAAATAAGATTACGCCCCTGTAATTGGTCTGTACCACAGGTAACGGTTTTTTAATTTTAAAAAATATATAGAGTGAAAATTACAGGTTTAACCACCAGTAGAAATACTTACCAAAGACAATTTTAATTGATCAAATTGTACATATGATTTATCATATACCAGGTTAATCAAAGTACTGAGAGGCCTATTGTGTTAAAATGAAAGACGCAAACATTGGATGCTTAACATTACATAAATTGAACCTCAAATCGCTTTGCATTTCTTCTAAAAGTGTTACAAGATAAAGCCACTGGTTTTCACAATGCTGATCAATATGGTAAATGTTTTTAATGAATGTCAAAGTAAAAGTTTTAGTGTTAAGTCCATACAAGGACAGAGATCACAATTCAAATTGTCTATCATTATTAATTGACAATATACATATCTGTTGTTTATTGCACAACACTTAACAAAATGAAGTACACTAAAGATCCACACAGGTTATAACTTGCTATAATATTTGTAATACCAATAAAAATTTACATGAACTATCCACTTATTAAATCTGTCATCAATGTCAATACCTCAGAATTTTACCATTAAGAGTCCTACATATTCTTACAGATTATCCATATATTGTACTTTCTCAGTTTAAATAAAAACAAGCTTTCCTTTAAAATCATATGCTGCCAGTATGACTTTATGTGTAAATATAAAGAAAGTTCTTTTTGTGTTGTGTGAAATAAAATTAATGGACTGCTTATGGCAGCTTTCACCAACGAAAACCATATAAATATGTATTACAATTGATAAGCTCCTATAAGCCACAAAATGCAGAATTGGATTGTGCTAAAAATGCAGGATGGATTTGTGCAAATATTGTTTTGTAGAGATCAGAAATGGGAATTTTAAATGCAAGCATCTGCTTCATCAATAATTTTAGAAAGATGCATTTTTACCATGAGAACTGAGCTGGTAACAAAACAGCTAATGATGCTAACAAGCATTGAACATATCTAAATTCATACATGTACCCAAGTCGAGAATAATCTTGGTTCAAATATATGAGAGAATAATGGATCCTAATGAATATATCTGTCTTTAGCAAAGATGTACTAATGCCTCAGTCACACCACTTGTCCTCAAACTTCTCTCTCTCTCTTTCTCTCTTTTTCTCTCTCTTTCTCTCTCTCTTTCTCTCTCTCCAATACCCATGGACAGTAGCTCTCAGCTTAACTGAAATTATTTATTAAACTTGGAAAGGAACTTTGAATAAGTTGACAATTTGTGGCAATTCCTTCTTTTAACTGTTATAACAGATGTAAATAAAAAACATGTTAAGATTAACAAAGAGTAATACTATAGGCCCACTTCTGTCTTTTTCCTTCCTTATAGAGGTTTGGTTCTCGTGTCTTTCCGAAAATCACACACTCAGGAACCTCTGCCTTTCTGTATATTTATTGACTAAGTTCATCGTATATATCCACTAGCACTGGAAATCAAAGATACAGCAGACTCTTTTATATTAGCTACTTATCTTGATCTTTTTCTACAACGAAACCAACACGGACAACTTTCCATCAAGATGTATGTAAGGTAATGCTTTCAATTACCCTATTTTGAATGTTCCATTTCTGGATAACTATATTCCTGCATCTCCAACCTATGGTATTTGATATTCAAGGGCCTGTTCCCATTGTCACGATTTTCGTGAAAGAAGTCGTCAACTGACTAACAAACTCGTAACAAAAGTATTCAAAAGATGCACATTGATGAAAATTATTGGGAAATTTGATGGTCGCCATAGTGATCTCTTTCAGAAATATACTATATTTCTTTGTGTGACATGAAGCTGGAGGTATTTGATGCTCGATAGTTTGTCTGTTGGTTCCGTTGTTGTATAGCTCATTCCCATATGACAGCTGACATTACTTACTTGAACTGACCAATGTTTACAATGCGGATGTCGTCGATATAGTAAACGCTTACTTTTCCGGGACACCTGGTCTTATTCTCCTTGTACCATTTCAAGAGTCTCCGTGTAAAGCTTTCTCTTTCTTTTGTTCATATTTTGCCCTAATTTCATGGAATTTGAGCTTAAATTATGATTATGTTAACATATTGGTATTTTTCTTGAGATTTTTACTCTAAAGATTTCATCCAATCAACGCTCGCTTAACAAGTAATGTTCGGCCTGTCAATAAAGATGGCGGAAGTCAACAAACCGGCGTGATCGATCTTGGGTATTTGTTCTGTGAATACACTGCTTATTAGCTTCGACATTTGTAAAATGACGGGTAAGAATATGTCAGAAGTACAACAGCTGTACAATCGTTAGTAATGTCATAAGAGGAAAGCAGTGTGCTCAAGAGAAATCGTCTGCGTCAGCACCGGGTTCGCTGAAAAAATTGTATCATTGTTAGTGGTACATTATTTTAGCTAATATAAGGATCCAGTAGAGTTCTGTCTTTCCTCTCGTTATAAATTAAAAACAGAGGGGTGATAGGGAATATACGGTGCTCGGCTTCAGTTGAAACCTAAGCTTGAATGTATATTATTGTTGAACAGTGGAGTCTTTGAGTATCAATATACAATGTGCGTAGGTGCAAAGAACAGCATCCCATTCGAGAGAATGCACAAAAATAGACAATTATTGTAAATATAGTACAATGTATATAAAAGGATATAAGTAGCAAGTTCGTGTAGCTTGTATAATCAGTGATAATCATGGACTTTGTTCTCTTTTAATCAGTTGTCAGAGAATGTTTCTTTGCCCCAGATGGTAACGTCAGCGTTGCATTTGTTTACCATGCTGGAAACGATGTTTTGATTCTATTTTGGAAGTCACACTTGCATGAAATGTGTTTACCCTGTTCTATAACATAAGAATAATGATAAGATTATTCATTCCATACCCATTGTTCTCCAAGGTATCCTTTCCACACTAGTTTGAATTATTCGGATGTTCTATCAACTTTTTGTATCTGTCTTGTGTGTAATGTACTGTCTGGAGTCCTTGAACATTTGAACTCCATCTGGCTTTATAAAAAGTGAGGGAAATAATTGATCCATGTTTCAGTTTGTCATTTTTATCTACATGCTGCACACAGATTGGACAATTCTCAACTTTCTTAGATTAATAACTATCTTGTGTGCTATGAAAATGATTCTTCAAGTCATCTATATGATATCAGCATACATTGTAATCTTGAATGTTCAACAGGGTATAAGTAAGAGAATAAGAAATGTTTAAAAGCATTGATGTTTTGAATTTCATGTTTCTAAGAAGTTGTCAATTTTCCTTGTGTATATTTTCTTTGTTACTGTTTGTAACAGATTGGATTATTGATACCTGGTGCAGAGATTTAGAAACAAGGTTTTCAGGTCCCTAAAATGAGTTTTTACCGATGGGTTTGAGAAAACATGATTTTTTTTTTTTTTGCAGATTTTAGGGTTTAAAAGAATTGATACATGTCAAGGGCTAGGGCCAACATCGATTTTTTGTCTGTAGTCTAGAGCAAAAATGTAGTGAAATCAACTGCCAGGGAACCTATTGACATCTGATATGTAAATAAGAAGTATAAAAATATTAGATTTTAGGTTCCTGTTTGTGTTCCTCCTTGTATAATTTAGAAACTGGGAATACAGTGTACCCATAACAATGTATTTGTGTTGGCTTAGGGAAGTCCTTAAAAACAAGAGGTACAAGTCTTAAATTAAAATTTTTATGTATATTCTTATCTGTTGCTGGTATCAGAAAGCAGTGTGAGCAGTCAGTTGGTAATTATCCTGGACACTAACCCAGTATGGTGGGGACAAGCAGACTCCAGGGATTCAGGCCAAAATCAGGTAAAGTTTAAATGAAGCTGACAGGAAACAGATCTTTCTATACTTTATTATGTATGTAAAATTAAAGCAATTCTATTTCCTACTAATTTTTTGTGACTTTCTTGTTTGATAGAGCAGGCTGTGCCTGCATAAATTGAGAAAGTATAATAGAATTTCCTGAAAGTTAAAGAAGAAATTCTTGACTTTTTTGTTTTTACTCAACATTCTGTTTTCAGCTGTAAATATATAAGAAGTCACACTAGCACAGCAGAAGTGTTTAGCTGTCATATGTGTGGCTTAATAGTTGTTTAGACAGAAATGGATCTAATGCTTCACAATTTGATTTCTCAGGTGAACAACTAAAATTTTGAATTGTTTATAACTAGCTGTCAAAACCTGCATTGAACCAGGAATTGTGCCTTTCTCTTCAGAATTCACATCACATTACATATATGTGTTGTCTGCATTTGAATGGGACACAATAATGCCAAATTTTGTTTTGTTGAATACGAACATGTAATATGAATAGAAAATACAATTTCACACAATGTTTGGAATAACTGTGGGCAAAACAATTTGTATGGCTACCTGTTGGAACCTCAGACAATAATGAGCAAATATTTAGTATTGTTAGAATACCAACACTTGACTGGGGTTATAGATTATGAAACTCAGTTTGAAGCAGAAAAATATCCATTATTATGAAGGACTATACATGTCATCAGAAATATATTTTTTTAAACTTAATTTATATAGGAATATTTTGTACACAAAATAAATATTGCAAGTGGGATGTATTACCTGACGTCATAATAAGTGGGTTCCACTGTACAAGTAAATACTCCAGGTTGTACTCTCTGTTTTCACGTTGTGAAACACATTGTAATATCTTATTTTATGTGTTTTATAGTTGAGTCTGTCACAGTGCCTGGAGTGTCTGATGGTATTTGCCAACTCCCATCTGATGATGAGCCATAGAAACAAACTGGCAGTGATAGCAGCTCATACAGACAAAAGGTCAGTCAGCAACCATTATCAACTAATACCTAGAAATAGGGGTTTTCTCTGAGAAATAGAAAACAGACCCTGCAATAACAAATTATTATTTCAAGGAAACTGATAAGAATTAAAGTTACATCTGAAAATATTCTCAAAATTTTCTTGCAATAAAAGAATTAAAAAAGTAAAAAAAAAGTCTTAAGAAGGTAACACATTTTAGCAGATACAAGAAATGGATTTCATAATGAATAACTTGTTTACTTTGACCCCTCTACACCAAACTGCTATTTGTAACAGTTAACTGTGACCCCTCTACACCAAACTGCTATTAGTAACAGTTTACTTTGACCGCTCTACACCAAACTGCTATTAGTAACAGTTAACTGTGTCCCCTCTACACCACACTGCTATTAGTAACAGTTTACTGTGTCCCCTCTACACCACACTGCTATTAGTAACAGTTTACTGTGACCCCTCTACACCACACTGCTATTAGTAACAGTTAACTGTGACCCCTCTACACCACACTGCTATTAGTAACAGTTTACTGTGTCCCCTCTACACCACACTGCTATAAGTAACAGTTTACTGTGACCCCTCTACACCACACTGTTATTAGTAACAGTTTACTGTATCCCCTTTACACCACACTGCTATTAGTAACAGTTTACTGTATCCCCTCTACACCACACTGCTATTAGTAACAGTTTACTGTATCCCGTCTACACCACACTGTTATTAGGAACAGTTTACTGTGTCCCCTCTACACCACACTGCTATTAGTAACTATTTACTGTGTCCCCTCTACACCACACTGTAATTGTTAATTTATTGCTTCCTTCAAATTATGTTTTTATTTTCTTAATTTTTTTCCAGTATATTCCTGTATCCAAAGAAAGACCAAGGTGAAAAATCCTCCATAAACACTGCAGATGAAGCTTCCCATAGTGATGGGAAGTATGAGCTGTTTGGATTGGTAAACAACCAGATCAAGAATCAAGCCCGGGAGTTAGTCATCAATGGTATATTGTTTAGTTTTGTCTGGGTGTATTTGTACTGGTCATATAATGTTACTGTGTAGAAGTTGGTTTTTCCCCATACCCAGTAGTTCTACAAAAATAACAAAATGTCATTATCAATTTTTGAAATCACTAACAGTAGATAGCAAAGGGATACCAGTTTGATATAATTTGGTCATTGGAAATGTCCTACTATCAATGTGTACAAGTTCCCAGGACCTGTCTCGATTGAGAATGATTTTGTCCTGATTGGGAACGTTTACTAGATCTCAGGTTCTGTGCTGACTGGGTATTTGTTCCCTGGATTTGCCCTTATTGGGTGCCTTTACCAAATTCCAGGTCTGTCTTGACTGGGCAAAATACAAACAAAAAAGATGCATTTCAGAAATTTTTTGGGTGGTAATAATTCACAAATAAGAAGATTTTTGTTCCATGATATGTATATATATATACATGTATATTGAATAGCTTTACTTTTATCATCTACATCTACAATGTAGATATCATTTTTATTTCTATAATGTACTATATAGATATCAATATTTATTTCTATTATCTATATAGATATCAGTATTTATTTCTATTATCTATATATAGATATCAGGATTTATTTCTACTATCTATATATAGATATCAGTATTTATTTCTATTATCTATATATAGATATCAGGATTTATTTCTATTATCTATATAGATATCAGTATTTATTTCTATTATCTATATAGATATCAGTATTTATTTCTATTATCTATATAGATATCAGTATTTATTTCTATTATCTATATAGATATCAGTATTTATTTTTGTTATCTATATTTTGGACCGCTGTGTGTTTTACTGTTTGATGGCCCTAATGACCTTTTATGTGTTGATGGGCCATTAAGAATGTAATAATAATAATATTATCTATAGAGATATCAATATTTATTTCTACTATGTACATACATATATATCATTATTTATTTCCAGGAGGATCTAGTCAGTTGTACCCAGATACAGTACTGGCTGGAGCTCTAGCCATGGCATTGTGTTGTATCCTTGTGGCAAAACAACCATTTTAAATTCTGATCACTCTTTCATTATATTTTCATATCTTTTTTTATATGAATAGAAGACTGTGTTCTTTGATTCTTTGAACTGACATTGAAAATATGGGATTTTTTTTTTAATATAGGAAAGAAAAAAAAAGTGACTTTATTCTACAATAATTGTTTCAGTCATGTGACTTCAGCATACAATTTAAACTTGCTCAAAATACTAATATTGTAGTGTATGCAATGTGCAAGAAAAGTGATCAGTGTGTATTACCTGTAAGTTGGTTATAGGGACCTTGACATTAAACAGACATACACAGATCTGAAAAGGAGGTCACTCCTGGAGAGCAACTGTCCTCAAGAATTCTGGTAAACATTTTGAAAACGATTCTTATTTTCTTTTAAATTCAGTTTCTCTGTTTCTAAGCCATCCTTCATTTCTTATTTTAGAACTTTCAATGATAATAAGAGATTTCATTTTTCTGGGTGATCTCCCTTGATACATTGTTAAAATCACTAGTAGATTATATTAATGATTATCATTACTGATAACCAGTATGACAAAACTAAATGAAAAATTAAAATAATTCCAATTCACATGTTACATAGAGGCTGCAAGGTCATCAAGACATCATTTAACAAAAAAATAAAAGTTGTAGTGACTTGACTGTGTGGTGATTAAAATAGATACATTAGATATATGTTTCAATTTTCCTGTTTCTATGCAGATTATTAAAGGATCTGAAGACAATCCAGAACAGTATATGAATCTAATGAATGCTGTCTTTACAGCTCAGAAACAGGTAACAAAGCTTTCAAAACTGGTTTAACTTTGTAGACTATCAGTTATTCATAAAGACTTGTAGTAAGTATACAACCAGTAAAGGGAAAATATGCTAAAAGAGAAGACATTTTAAAGAGATATCAACCTTATGTTTATTATATCATATACCTTATTTATGTAAGAACCATATGCTGGAGATATTTTAAATTGCCAGATGAAATTAGTATTATATTGTAATAGTTTGAAATAAAATGATATATGAATATATATAAGTTTATAATTTGCAACCTAGGTGTATTTTCTGATCAAGCGGTGTGAAACACATGTAGGATCTTGACCAAGTGAAGATTACACTTAATGTTGTAAATCATCCTAAGGACAAGTGAACATACATTGTACCGTATTATTACAATCTTACTTAACTAATCAAACTATACAATGTAAGTGGAAAGCTCAGAATATTATGATATAACTACCTAATAATGTTTTTTATGTTAATAGAACATTGTAGTAGATGCTTGTGTTCTGGATAATGACTCTGGACTTTTACAGCAGGTATGATGTTTGATTATCTCCCCTTAGAGGAGATTGAGTTTCCATAAGCAAGTCCTTTAGCTAGTTACCTGTGTTGAGGTATATATAACATGCACTATTTTTCAAATATAGTGTTCATTTATCTTTTGTGGACAATTTTACAAAATTTCAAGTTTTCTTTGGTTGATCTTATTCCTGACTATTGTAGTAGAACTTTCAACTTTTTCTACAGGAACCACTGAGGGAATTTTGAATAAATTTGGTCAGAAGCATCCTTAGGGGAATATGGGAGACAATTTTTCTATAAATGGTTTGTCCCTGAAACAGTTTAAATACCCACCCAATAACCATATATATGGAATTGCTTGACATCAATAGATAAATATATTTGTTATGTAAGAATTGACCCTTGGGTGTGGCACACCTCAAAGGACATCATTTCTGGGTCATATTTTTTGACGTAGTTGAGATACTAACCTGATAGCTATATAAACTCTTACTGGAAATCAAAAGAGACAGACTAATGATTTAAAAATTTACCCATTTATCTTGCCTCAGCAACTATTTGGAATACCTGACCTATAGGCATGTATAACATTGATGGGCTTTAGGATTCAGGTGAGCAATACAGGCCATATGGGTCTCTTGTTTTCTGACTAATATATGGTCCACGGTGTGTAAGAGTAAATGAGTCACTATCATAATATGATTTCAAAGCACCAATGATAAACAAGAGTATCAGTGACACTGATGAATGTTCCCGAAAACAACTTTATGGGACATAAGATTTTAACAATGAGCAATCACTCTGTAAATAAGGGGCTGGAGGTTCTGAATTCGAAAATCAATTGATTGATTGACAGGTTTTCCATCTTTGTGAGTCCTCCCCTGTCTAGGTATCATCTCACAGACATACATCAGTGTTCTGGCTACGATTGCATATTTTGTCTGTATGGTTAATGTATATACATGTACATTGTACATGTTTTGTTATCCTAGTTTATATGCAAGGAAAGTTATGCTCTTGACATGAAATTTTTACGAAGGGAGGTAACTCTTTTATAGTGGGGGTCAAAGGCCCTGAATTTTGGTACACTCCACATCCCTTAATGTGACCTTATGTGTACACCCAATTTCATGATCCTTGCTTAACTGTGGGCAAATTTATGAAAGGACAGATAGACTCCTGAAAAAGTTTACAGTAAGCTATAGGTAATTTATAAAAAGCTGTGATGTTAATTGATGATCAGACTCAAGAAATAAGATGTATTTTTCTAGAATTAATTGTGTGGAATCAAATGAAAGGCACTATAAAGACAAGATCATTTTACACCATGGGGCACAGATCTGACTTTAATACTATAATAATACATATTAACAGTTTTAGAGTATCACACTTCCACAGTTAACAATTATCTGATAGTTCATATATCTTCGTCAGTGGAAAATAATTGATACAGCATTCAAAGTGTCAGTTTGTTTTACGTTTTCTAGGCATGTGATATTACTGGAGGAATATATCTCAAGATTCCACAGGTAGCTGGTCTACTTCAGTATCTGTTGGTGAGTCTCAGTGATTAACTTGTCAGTACATTTTGTACTGTAACTTATAGTGGTGGGACAGTCATGTTAACATTTAATGAACATATGTTGTCTAATAGTCTAAAATGTCTTGACTTATTGAGACTGATAATGTAAACATACATGAAGTTGTATTTAATAATATTTTGTATTTACTATTTACAATATCTGGTATGTAATAATTTAACCAGCAAACAAATCTACAAGGCTTTTTCTATCTTGAGTAATGTTTTTTTGATATCACAAACTCTGAAATTGTTTAGATACAATTGTTTCAGCTGTCATAATACAGTATCATAAAACTGTTACTTACGTATAGAATAAAATGGTGTCTTATATAGTAAAGCTATAAACTACAAACAAATTTATGGGATGATTTTCACACACATGAAAATGTTAACCCTGACCTGGTTTTCACTGATTTTATATTATATTTACTTCCCAGTGGGTGTTTCTGCCAGACCCTACCGAGCGTCACAAAGTCAACCTTCCACCAAAGGCACAGGTGGATTACCGAGCTGCCTGCTTCTGTCATCGTAACCTTATTGATATTGGCTATGTTTGTTCTGTATGTCTCTCAAGTAAGTTTCTATTATTGAATGGATATGTATTGTAAGATATGTAGATAATTCTTGTATTGATTAATCAAATGACTGATGAAGTCAATGTTGCTTGAAGTTGTTTTCCACTGGTGTTTTCATGTCTTGGCCATCGTTAGGTGATTACTTTATTTTAACATTATGATTACTACATTATGAAGTAATTCAGTGAATAAGATAAGGGGAGATAACAACATTACCATCAATTAAGTCATGATATATGAATGTACAGCATTAAGTGACAAGTGATTGACAAGTGGATTAATAGACAGACAGATGAAATATCCTACTATAGTAAATATATAGGTATACTGTTTTTACTGGTAGAGACTAAAATACAATGACAGTACAAGAGAAAATACCTCACGCTTGAAAAAAATGCTTGTCATAATAACTGTTTTGAAGTTATCTGTACAGTTGCATTAGAATATATGACTTACCAATATCTGACCATTTTTTCATACTACCATACTGTATTTTTGTTTTCAGTCCATTGTTCATTCAGTCCAATTTGTTCCACTTGTCAGTAAGTATATTGTGGATTTATAATTTATATTATTTTCAATATAAATCTATAAAACAAACACATGGAACTTAGTATCACAAAAGTTGTCAATCAACAGACCATATTTCAAACACTATTTAAGTGGCAGGAACACCAAATCGGATATTTTTGCAATTCAGTTTTGACAATGCTATTTTTTGTAATGATCTGAGAATACAATTCTTGGAATACTCAATGATGTACTTTGAATCCCTGATGTGTTAATTAGTCAGCCAAAAGTAGCTAACTATTATTTTGATGAGACAACTGTTTTATTGGTCAAAGTTCACTCACTACAATGGAATTACTAAATTCCCTAGACATACATGTAGAACATTTCTCAAGAATTGTCACCATGACAGGAAGTCTTATGTAATATGTATGTCGAAAACATCAACAAAGTTGTTCATGTCTGACTTAAAACAAGTTGATAATTTCTGATCTCAATTTCACAGCACAACATTCAAGATGTTTGGACCAACCAAAGGCTTAAAAAGGAAAAGTAAGAAACAACCTTCCTGATTAAGGATGAACTAGAGAGTTCCTTGTTAGTTGGTTGATTAGAGGTGGATTACAGTAGCCTTCTGATTTGTGGTGGATTAACCCTTCGGGTAATTAGTGGAAAACTTAAGGCTTCAGTGTACAGTAAGAAACAAGCCAGGTGATCGATGGAGTAGAGCTCAGTGTACAGTAAGAAACAAGCCAGGTGATCGATGGATTAGAGCTCAGTGAACAGTAAGAAACAAGCCAGGTGATCGATGGATTAGAGCTCAGTGTACAGTAAGAAACAAGCCAGGTGATCGATGGATTAGAGCTCAGTGTACAGTAAGAAACAAGCCAGGTGATCGATGGAGTAGAGCTCAGTGTACAGTAAGAAACAAGCCAGGTGATCGATGGAGTAGAGCTCAGTGTACAGTAAGAAACAAGCCAGGTGATCGATGGATTAGAGCTCAGTGTACAGTAAGAAACAAGCCAGGTGATCGATGGATTAGAGCTCAGTGTACAGTAAGAAACAAGCCAGGTGATCGATGGAGTAGAGCTCAGTGTACAGTAAGAAACAAGCCAGGTGATTGATGGAGTAGAGCTCAGTGTACAGTAAGAAACAAGCCAGGTGATCGATGGAGTAGAGCTTAAGGTGTTCAATTTGAAAACAGCTCTCCTCAACAGAGGTGGATCACCGTCCCAATCACAGTTGAAAAGCTCAAGGTTTCAACATCAGTATGAACCAGCCATTCTGTTTATTGTTGTCTAGAAAGGACACCGCCAGCAACACGTTCCTGGACAGGGGTGGATTGTATACACAAACAAGAGTCGTCACTTGTCCTAAGAGCAGAGCATTTGTTGACAATAAATAGATGAACTCAAGGAAATAAATCAATCTCCACCAGAGATGAGAAATGCAAAGAACATATGTAGATCTGTCATTTAGACAGAACACCTGATTTAAATGGATGCCATATGTAAATTTATTTCATGGATATATTATGTTGTAAGTGCTTGAACATGTTTTTCTAATAAAATGTATTATTTTCTACTTTATAGACAATTGTTTTAAGCTCGGAAAAGTTCAAAGAGTGATGTTTCGATAGTGATCACATAAAAGATAACAGTATGATAAGGTCTGCAGATGAATATTTGGCATCACCCCAAAGGATTTGTTATAATCACGTTACAGATAGCTTGAAATTATAAACAAACATTACAGTAGATCAAATCGCTAAACATGTATATTAAATTAAATGTCTCTATACATAGATACATGTGACAGACATACCAAAACATTTTAACCCACATAAACTAAATCGCAACAACTGAGAAATATTAGCCCTGCAAAATTGAACAATAAAACTGATATACCCTAGGTATTGAAGAGAAAAAAAGTTTTTATAAGGGAAAGATATTACTGTGTTTCCATATGCATTTAATAGTAGCCTTGGCTTACATTTCATACCAATATTACATGAAATAAGATGTGAATGTAATATCTCAATCTAAACTTGTGCAAGATGAGTAAATTTCTGGAGAGTAACCTTAGATACCTTTTTACATCTTTAAATGATGCAGAGAGTGATGGTGAGCATATGCATTTAATAGTAGCCTTGGCTTACATTTCATACCAATATTACATGAAATAAGATGTGAATGTAATATCTCAATCTAAACTTGTGCAAGATGAGTAAATTTCTGGAGAGTAACCTTAGATACCTTTTTACATCTTTAAATGATGCAGAGAGTGATGGTGAGCCTAATTCTTGGAGTACTGTGTACAGACAATGATAAAATGTCTGATTCAAACTAATATCAGAGGGCTTTTAAAGAAAAAGTTTACTACTAGTGAAGATGTTAAAAATTAAAAAAAAAATTCAGCTTTAATTTTTTCACCAAATCAAAGTTTTAGACTTTTTATTTAAAAATGTTTACAAAGTAAAAGGTATGTTCCTAAGAATTCCTAAGGCCTTTTGTTTATTGCAATGAAATTGTTTTAAAGACTTCAGCATATTCGACCCCTGTGACTATGAATGCGGGTCAAGGTCATTCGTTTTAGCAAATTTGGTAGTCCTTCATCCCAGCTTGCTACAGGTCAAATATCAGTACTCTAAGTCTTTTGATTATTGAGAAGTTGTTTTAAAGATTTCAACATATTTGACACCTGTGACATTGAAAGTGAGGTCAAGGTCATTCATTTTAATAATTTGGTAGCCCTTTATCTGAGCTTGTTACTGAGAAGAAGTCTTCTGAATGGAAAAGATTATGCATGGTGGATGGTTCATGGTGTACGGCAACAGACAAAACAGGATGACTATTGGTCATCCTGACCCTTTGGTTTTGATGACCTAAAAATTGACAAGAGGACAAATTAATGGAAACAATGTGTTGATATATTTATCTATGTTGCTATGAATTTACACACACGTTATTCTGGGTATATTTCCCATTATAAATCTCGACCAGATTTCACATTAAAGAGTGTTTTCACCTGCCAAATGAACAAACATTCATTTAATACCACAAAATCAATTTATTATAAGACACTTCACTTCAACACACAGTTGTCTGTGTGTAAAACTTCATTATCATCACAAAGTCAGTCTGGTTGAATATACTACACTACTGATTATCTTATAGAGTATCACTAGAATACACACAGAAACAACAGTCAGCATATCTGATAGAGTGTCATCAGTAATCACTTATTGTTCCAAAAGTAGAAATGTCTGATTATAAATTTTCATGAAATTTTTATCCTCTACCTTCAGGTAAAACATTCCAGCAAAATATCCTCCAATAGTAGCCACATTTCCTCCACACATCATAAATTCACATGTACATGAGTAGACGAGTTTTCTTGGAATGTTGTTTGGGTAACACATTTTTGCCCTTGTAAGAGACTGACCTTGTTACATAACTCTGAACATTTAAATAAATAGAATACACTTTCTGAGTATCCTGATTGTCTTGCTTCAGCACCAATAAAATGTTTTAATTGGTTTAGATTTTTTTTCTAATTTCCTAATCAACCTTTACCTCTATTGACACCTTACAGACTTAACAGCACTATGTAGCTACAGTTTTGGTTGTGTTGGGGCCGTTTTTAAGAAATGCTCTCGCACTTTATAGACCATGACATTGGCTTCATCAAAATATGGAGCAAGTTTTGGTTTGACACGTTCTGCCCAAGCGTTCACATTTGGATTGGATTCAATAAACTTCTCCTCGCCACAGGCATAAAGCTGCATCATTTCACAAATCCCTAGGAGATCTGCGATTGAGATTTCATCGCCACCAAGAAATGGTCGATTGTCCTTGAGGAAATATTCATCTGTTTGGCGAATTGTGATTGCAACACCTTTTCTAAAACCTTCAACTTTTTTCCAGTCAATTGGTTTATTTCTCAACCTTGGTAAGATTGCCTGTTTAAAAAAAAAAAAAAAAGCGCAATTTTAAAAATAAAAACCAGTCACCTTCTTCATCTAAACGTCAAAAATTTCAGGGATGTGTAACAAATTTCAACACATAAATCCTTTTCTGGCACAAATACATTTTTCATTAATGCTGGTTGATGTTGATTGATAAAATATTTCCGAGTTCATTGCCAGATATCCCTACTTTCTTATGTAGAAGAAGAAAACATTTTTTTAAAAGATGTATTTCTTTTTCCTCTTTTGATCCGGGTTTCCTGTTCTTGTTTGAGGAAAGATCATAAACTCTGCTTATGGAACGTGATTCATGTTCACCCAAGAATGTTCAGACCAAATTTAGGCAATAACTCACTCAACCACTTAGACGAAGGGATGCAACAATTAAGATAAGCTAGATAGATAAGACAGCTTTGGGAGAAGACTTATACAGGCTCTAGCCTGCTGTCTAATCCTATCGATCATTTCTATCAATAAAATATTCTGAAATGAAAAGATAAGCTAGAGGAAAACAGTTCTGGTAATACTCACTAGATTTTGAAATAACATTGCCATGTTGATTCTGGTGTTTAAATGTTGGTAGTTCATGAACTCATCAACTCTGGCCTGGGCCTTGAGGTCAGTCCGTGGATACCAGTGGTCAGGCACATTGTATTTTGCAGCCAGGTACTTTAGGATGGCCACACTACCAAGTAAAATGAATATTTGCATATAAAATATGTCCGATTCTTACACTCAAGTGCAATAATTCATTTCTTACTCACATCATTCGCATTGGAAGATTTTATTACCATGACATAAATTGTGATTTCCTGAATTCCATTTTCACTTTATGACACTATATGAGCCCTTTGTTTTTTTTCAAGTATTTAAAACCTGTCTGGAGAGCTCCTTCAGTTAGTTTCACAACAATGACAATATGTGTTTTTCTGAATGACATTTTGATTTAATAATTCATAGAGGAGTTATTTCCTTTTTTTCATTCTTATCGTGTCTGGAGAACTGTCTGGTTTAGACAATCTCTTTAAAACAAGTTTGTCTTTATTAACATGACTAGTAGCTGTGCTTACTGTAGGTAATGAAAGAATATTTTTTATCTAATAATTTATCTTTATCTTAGATTTCATACTTTTACGAATGCTTTTCTCTCTCTTTCATCTGATCATAATTATCATTTCAAAATTCAATTTTTTTTCATAATGGTATTTTATTTCACATATTCTAATCTTATCTAGAGATTTCTGTTTTTGACAAATCTCTAAAACTTGACAAGCTTCACTTTCTTACGATGAATTGGTGTTGTATTTTTTTGGGGTCCTTTGATAATTTTTGCATATTTTCTTTTTTGCACATTTTGATATAGCAATGCAACCATGACTTTGATGGGTGTTTAATGTTCCACCTTGCACTACTCTTGTTAGTACAGGATCTTATTATAATAGTGATTCCCGTCTTTAACCTTATCCCTATCTATCTGTATGTCTATTCGACAGCTGCCATTAGATTGCTATCCACTATATCCTGGACATGTTGATTTTAATATGCATTCTCAAAACCCAGGTAAAGGCTCTCCTAATTAAGTTCTGAACCGAATAACTTAAGAAAAAGTGTACATTTACAGAATGATTACAGTAGTTCACAAAGATTTTTGAAGTTTTTTTTGTTTTGTTCAACTTTTAAACAGTTCTGTCAGTTCACCACCACAATGAGGTAGTATACAGCTGTAATTTCTGTCTTAACTGCATATATATGCTTCTGTCAAGAGTTCATCAGAATAGGGTAGGAACATATCCCTTACATTTTGCCTGATTTACAAATCCCTCTCATTTTGTCACCACCTTCCCAGGCTAAGCTTATAATCATTCTCCTTATTATGTGTATAACTCATTATCTAAGAGAAAAAAAATGTCACTATATTAAACTGGAACAAAATTAATAGCTAGCTTCCTGAAGCCTTATATCTTCAAAGTAAGAAGATAAGATAAGTTTATTTCATAGTCCTCTATACCAGACTCATTAATACAAAATAATACATCAAAAATACATACATGTATATATCCTGTACTTGACCTGATGTCTAATTTTGAATTGTTGCCTTATAGTTAAATAAAAGTTCTTGCTTTTTCCAGTGCTTATCTAATTTGATCTTAAAGGAATTTACATTTACAGCAGATACAATCAAAATAAACCTTTCTGTGAGAATGAAGCCATCATCATCTATGACTGGGACACGACTTATGGGGTTAATCTTCTTATAATCCTCTCCAAAATGCTCTCCTGTGAAGTTGAAAAATATATACAATACAGTTCACACAAATTTCTTAAAAGGAATGTCTTCACAATTGTTGTTTATGTTATATATTTTTTAGCAGTTTTTCTAAATAACATTGAACATGACATCTTCGTTTGGCCTATATCAATACTATGATTTGCTCTTGATTTGTTGGATCTTTTACTTCTTTCCTTTTATTTGCTTATGATCATATGTTGTTGTGACCATTTTTCTTTCTCTTGATTTACAGCACATTATACCTTGATCAAATGAGAAAGTTAAGTGTGATTTTCTGAAAATTGGAAAAAACATTTGATTTTGATTGATTTTGGGAAGATTACACATATTTTGGCAAAGGGTCACAGCTGTAAAACAGGGAGAAATAAAATCACTTAACAAATGCATTAAGTGAGAATAAAGCTATCTACATGGATGAGAGGTTGGGAAGGGTTGGACATGAATAGAGGCTTGTGAGCAGTGAGGGATTGACAGAGGATATCTAACTGAGAGGTTGGGAAGGGTTGGACATGTATAGAGGCTTGTGAGCAGTGAGGGACGTAAAGAGGATATCTAGCTGAGAGGTTGGAAAGGGTTGGACATGAATAGAGGCTTGTGAGCAGTGAGGGATTGACAGAGGATAGCTGCTTGGACTCAGTTTGTAGGGCCATGGATTATCATGCTCATGGTTGGAGTTTGGTTCCCTCTTTGGCAGAAATGGGTCTCTCCTTGTTCTTTCACAAGGTCAATATCTTTCAATGCCACAAGCATGAACAATATTTCTTGGCAAACTTGTTTTTCATAGCACAAACTATTTAAATGTAGTTATTTTTCATCGGTCGCTCTACCATTTGTAAGTTAATTCAAACTGAAAATGAGTCATCAAAAGTGATAACTTAAAAACACAACTTTTTCAACATAAGATATCTTTGTTTGGTCTTTAATATAATAATAATCAAAAAATTATTTCAATTGACAGACGACAGACGACAACAAAACACTGGTGTTTGAGGATGGATTGATTGGTTCTTTCATTATATCTGGGAGGATGTTTGACATGTAAAAATGTGTATTAAGGAAAACTACACAAATCTGAAAAGAAAGATATTCTCAGAAAATGATATGGTGGATGGTTTTAATCACAAATGTTCATTCCTTCTGAAAGCCTAACATGTTATAACAACCAAAATTACCAAGGTGCGAGGTCAAGCATGTCAATAGTTCAAATACGGTTGCAAAAAATGGCCATTCCGAAACACATAATGGTCTGGAACCGATGTCTAGACGATATAATAATTGTTTCTTTGAAAGCGGTTGCCAGAGTGCAACATCAGCAGGACTGTCATTTTTCACGAAATCAGTGGCCCAGGATTGGGCGGTGGGTGCAATATATAGGTCACGATAACACAAAGGTTCCACGCTTTTTAGCACCATGTCACTCAATAAGAACAGTATAACTAAACTCACCTTTCCTAAGTGCAACCGGCCTGTCTACAAATGGGATGTTGTTCAATTTCAGAAAGATGTAGACAGCCCTGCAAGGCTGTGACATTAAGTCATAGTAGTGTTTCAACGCCATCTTTCTCAGGGACAGTAGAAACTAATATTCAAACGAATGGCGCGGACAATGAAATATCCGGATGATAGCTGAAAAGTTTGAAATCCGAATAAGTGATATTACCGACACGATGCTATTGAATGATGTTGAAACATGTTTTCTGCATTTCCCAATCTTCTTTTACATATCAACAAATATAAAACACTGTACTTGTAATATTCAGAAATTATTTATAATAACAAGCCTTCAGGCCTAACTTATGTTAGTTTAGAGCTATTTCATTACTGATTTAATCATGAACCAGCTCTTATAAAATTGTATAAAATTAGTGAAATATTTTGTCTGTAATAAAGAGAATGCAGGAAATGTACAATTAAAGACTATTTATTATTATTCTATCTCCTTGTCCTCTTGTGTCCCTGGCTATAACATTGCCTGTACATATGTACGATGTGAATCTCGTTAAAGAAACTCATAGAATTGACAAAACAAGGAGAACTTTTCTGCTTCATTGACGACACCCACCATGTAAATCTTAGGCAATTCAAGTTAGTAGAGTTCGATTCTTAAATCACAGAGAACAAGGTTAAACAAGAAATAAGAAAACGGAGTCACTAGGCACACCAATGAGCATTAAACACCCGACTTCATGCACGATCTTACACAGGAAAATAGAAAAAAAACCACAACGAGATCAGCATAACGACATTAAAACATTCACACAAGAAAGAGAGAGTTAGAATGTCGCTTCTTCAGATTTTGCATCACATGATAAATTGATAAATTAAGAATATTACAAAGTATGTATACATGTAGGTACGTTACGTGAATCTTATAGAAGTTTTCATTTCGTACTGGATCTATAAAAGTGAAATTCTTCCGTCTCAACTCACGGGTGATCTTACATCATCGATAATTCTCTTTAATTGATTGTTTGCCAGGTATATATGACATTTTCAAATTTTTCGAATTCGGCAGAGTCGCTCATGCATTTTGGAAAAGTTATTATAGTTTCATGTCTATTTTGTTTAAACTTGCTTGATAATTTTGACTCAACCTATTGGGTCAATGATTGGCACCATTTTATTTGTACAGTTAACAAAGGAAAAGTTATCATAAATATCAGGAAGAAAAAAGTATTTTGAGGAACATTTTGCATTCGACAATATATAGGATTATTTCAAAATCCAAGAAATTTTATGTAAAGATTTTATTGAAGATCATACTCAGATAAAAAAAAAAAAAGAAGAAGAAAGAACGCGTCGCTAGTGGCCGAAGCTAAAAGTACCAATGGTTGATTATTGTTATAATCCCAAAAACAATGATTTCGTCCTTATAGGCCCAAATTATTGAAACCTAAATGAGGGAAATCCTAATTGATCGGTTTTCAAATGCATATCAAAAACAAAAGAGTTTGTTTCGTTGAACAATGCTACAGTGATCCCAATTCTAAAAAACAACAACAACAGCAACAAATAAAAGACCCAAAAAACCCCAGAATATACAACAAAAATAGCAACTTGAAAGAGATTTTATTTTCAATGTGGCCTCAAAGCCTCAAAGAAAGCACTATGATGAGTATGTCACAATGGACTCTTTCAATCATCCATATATATACATCCGGATATCTTATTAACAGTCGTTCGTATCCTTACTCTATGTGTTTATCTCAACAGCTCTCGCGATATAGAGTTCTGCACTAGTATCGTGTATAGACGAATCTACTAACTAGGACACCGGCGGACATTTACAACTATGGTGTTGGGTTTTTACTGCGATTTGCTCTCACAACCATGCAGGGCTGTCTACATATTTTTGAAAATGAACAAAATACCATTTGAGGTCAAGTCGGTGTCGTTATTGAGAGGTGTGCATATTAATATTGTTCCAATAGTAATTGACTTTGCCGACGGACTAGATATTGAACCCAGGGACGATCACATCTCTGGTTAGGACGACTATGTATTATTGATAGCGTTAAGCTTCTATGTCCTATAATGCGTATACTTGTACAATGTTGAATATTTATTTTATAATGTCCTGTATGCAATATAGAGATTATGAAAAGGTAAGTACATATTTTAAAAGAAATTAAATGTTATTGAAGATTTTTATTGTTTATGAAATGCATCAATACAATTGTATTTGAAAGAAAGTATATCGACAGGATGCTATACGTTATTAAGTTGACAAACACAATGGCTGAAATTGTTGAGATTTGAAATTTACGGTAATGGTTTATCCTAAATCGATTATATCTAAATAAACTGCGTGAATAATGAACTTCTAACGAGTTTCACTCAAATATACTAAAATGACAGACAAACTCGTAATACAGGGTTTTCAAGAGATGCCGCTTGATGAAAATTAGTTTTACGACCGTCGTAAGTGTCTCGTTGAGAAATATTCTATTTCTTTGTACGATCTGTAGCTTGCCGTGTTGAATACTTCCCAGTTTGTCTGCTTGTTCCGTTATTGTGTACCTTGTTCTCATTACGTGACATTACTTTCATGGATTGACCAAGAATTGACATGGCGTGTGTCGTCGATGAAGCAGAAGACGCTTACTCTTCTAGAACACTTTGTCTTATTCTCATTGTCATTTTTGTTAAAAGTTTGCCTAGTTTTATTGTATTTGAGTTTGAATTACGATTATGTTGACTTGTTGGTATATTCTTTTTTCGTTTTTTTAATAGTCGATTCACATGAATTGTTTTCTTTTAGATACTACAATGATGTTACTTTTCATATTCAAATTACAAACCTCGTTTTCAATATTACAGGTGATAACCACAATAAGGATTTTCGGAAGGTCAGCCCGATTGGTCGTCTCCCAGTCATAGAGGATGGGGGCTTCATTCTTACAGAATGGTATAACTTTATCAAATTTTTATTGCAACTCTGATACAAACATATATCGTTTTATGATAATAAGATAAAACAAGTTTAAAGGGGAATAACTCACTTTAATGTTCGCTGCGAGAGAGAGAGAGAGAGAGAGAGAGAGAGAGAGAGAGAGAGAGAGAGAGAGAGAGAGAGAGAGAGAGAGAGAGAGAGAGAGAGACACACACACACACACACACACACACACAAATTGTTAACATTGAAACTAATGAAAACAGAAACACATGACACACACACACACACACACACACACACACACACACACACACACACACACACACACAGTTATCAATGTTAACATGGTCTTGAAACTAATGAAAACAGAATATCGCAATGTTTTATCAGAATCATCAGTTATCAAATCGTAAGTATTTTTGCTATCTGATCATCAGTTATCAATGATCGTAAATATGGTCTCCTCTGCAGTGTTGCTATCTGATCATCAGTTATCAATGATCGTAAGTATGGTCTCCTCTGCAGTGTTGCTATCTGATCGTCAGTTATCAATGATCGTAAATATGGTCTCCTCAGCAGTGTTGCTATCTGATCATCAGTTATCAATGATCGTAAGTATGGTCTCCTCAGCAGTGTTGCTCTATCTGATCGTCAGTTATCAATGATCGTAAGTATGGTCTCCTCTGCAGTGTTGCTATCTGATCATCAGTTATCAATGATCGTAAGTATGGTCTCCTCTGCAGTGTTGCTATCTGATCATCAGTTATCAATGATCGTAAGTATGGTCTCCTCTGCAGTGTTGCTATCCTTAAGTACCTGGCTGTGAAATACAATGTGCCTGACCATTGGTATCCACGGACTGACCTCAAGGCCCAGGCCAGAATTGACGAATACATGAACTACCAACATTTGAACACAAGAACCAACATGGCTATGCTCTTTCAAAATTTAGTAAGTATTGTAAGATTGCATTCCAGCTTCTGATATGATAATGAAACTGAAGTGAAATTTCATCATTTCTTTCGCCCGTGATGTAATTAAATTAAGTTATGATTTCGGGATTGATTGCTATCGAATTACTTTCTTTATAAAATGAAATTTAGTTTCAACTTATTCAAGATGTCCTATAATTACTTACCATCGGTTGTGAAGTAAATGTTGTTTACAGAAGAGATTAAGAGAAATGCCGATTACATTTGTTTATTCACGTCTTTTCAACAAACAGTTGTTTTTTCGAGAGTTGAATGAAATAAATTAATATAGATATATACACTGAAGTAATGAAAACAAAAGAGATGTTGAGTGATAGAGGTACATTGTAACCAAATTTCTATAATTACACTGTTTAGAATCAAAGACATAAACTTCCCAAAATTTCTGAAAATATTCCAAATTATGAAACAAAAGACTGATTTTCGCTGCAGTGGCTCTTGCCAATGATGTTGAACAGACCGATTGATCGGAAAAAAGTGGACCGATACAGTAACAATGTTGGCGTTGTTATTCACCAAATAGACGAGTATTTCTTGAAAGACAATCGACCATTTATCGCCGGCGACAACATCTCGTTAGCAGATCTGCTAGGGCTTTGTGAAATGATGCAGCTGTATGCCTGCTGCCAGGAGAAGTTTATTGAATCCAATCCAAAAGTGAACGCTTGGGCAGAACGTGTCAAACTAAAACTTGCTCCATATTTTGACGAAGCCAATGTCGAGGTCAACATCACTAGAGATAAATTCATGAAAAGTGCAGCAACACAACCAAAACTGTAGATATTTACTAAGGTGATCTAGTCTCTATCATAACCAGACAACAAATATCGAATGATAAAATGCTTGCCTTGTAAGGCAAGATTTTTGGAAACTTCAGTATACAGTTATAATACTCAAGAAAGGATTGATATGTTGAAGAAATGTGTTAAGCCTTATTTAAGAAATTTGAAATCTTTTAATGTTTTTAATTCTGATGCATTACATGACGTGTTTTGATCTTTACTCTATAATTTAGAGTTTACCGTTTGAGTATTTACCGGTTAACTTAGTGTTACTGTCGATTTATCTGTTTAAGTGTTATATGACGAAGTAAGCTGTGTAGCGTTCAGTGTTTCAATGGTACCCAATTAAATTACGTCAGTGTAGGCCTGATTTGATGCTAATTCTTTGATTAATTTAACGTAATATCTTACAAGTCTAAATGTTTCGAAAATTGATAATTATTTCACTTCAGTTTTAGCTGATGTTGGGTACTTTAACCAGACCATTTCTTCTGTCTGGCGATTTTTTAATACAAAGAATAAAATATTCATTACTCCTTATTAGCCTAGTGCCTTATATACTGTTTCCGCTATTTGCGTGGCTTTTAGAATGTCTTACATGTTTGTTAGATAAGCTGATGCATGTGCTTTTTGGTGTTTATTTTGAAATAACGTAAACATAGAAATGTTGACGTAAGATATACAAAGTGACGAAACAATAAGATAAATATTTTTAATGCATTTAATTCCAATATATATTAAAGCGTTATTTCATTTTTGCACATAACGTATTTAAAACACTTTATCAAAGCAACAGTAAACAATATGTATCTATCTTTAAGGGAATACAATATTGAGCTTGTCCCCTCCAATTTTAAAGACGTCATAGCATTATATACATAACTTGAATGTTTAATTATATGACAGTTAACTAACTAATGATACATGTAGATAATGATTGTGTGCACATGTGTAGCGTTTGTCAGTCCAGACAATTGAACAAGAGTAAATTTTGATTGTTGAAGTTGAAGGCCAGATACAAGTAAAAAGACGAGTGATTTGAATAGAAAAAAGAAAGTAAAATTACCTTTAATTTTCTGCTATATGCAAGTGTTCAGATATTTCATTTAATATATTCGGATTTCAGAGAAACAGGCTTGATGACTGAAATCCTGAAAATCATTAGTATTGAATTAACAACTTCAGTTACATCAACATCTCAGCGTTACTAAGATGGTGAAAAACTTCGTTTTGTAACGTTCCGTAAAAATAAAATAATTACACCAAGATATTATACATTTTAACACAATATAAACATGACTTTACAACACTTTGGTAAACGACTTTTTCACAGAATATAAAACGGTATAATGTAATGTAAAAAGTTCAATTACATCAAGATCTCGTCCTTTTTAATACAATATAAAACTTTACTTTGTAGCACTATGGTAAAAGGTTAAATTGCATAATATTTTACACACATTATAAAACGATGTCTTTAACACTCTGTCAAGTAGAGTTTTAAAATCACGGTCTCAGCAATATTAACATATTATAAAACTTGTAAAACTATTAAACTGTTTGATTACATATACGTTAAGCAACTTTTTACACACAATATAAAACTGTATGTTAAACTCGGCTTTCTCACGTAATGTGAGACTATGCTTTAAGACACTTTAGTAAGCAGTTTAATTACATCAAGATCTCTGCACATTTCACACAATATAAAACGATGTTTTGTAACACTGTTAAACAGCGTGATTTCACCACAATCTCAGCAATATCAACACAATACAAAATCACTTTGACGACTGTAAAACCTCCCCATAATTTGACTTTTTGCACGAAAATCGTGACAATGGGAGCTGGGTCTTGAATATCACATCAACTTAGACAGGTAAATACCAAAGGTTGAGGATGCACGATTGTTTCTAATCCAGAAATTGAAAATGCACAATAAAGAAATGTAAATTATCACCTTTGATACAGCTTGGTGGAAAGCTGTTCATTTTGACTTCGTTGTCAAGAAATATCGAGGTAAGTAAGTACATCCGTACACTGGTGGCATAATGTACACAATGGAAATACCCCAAGCTACTACAATACCTTGTGGTTAGGATGTATACCTCCTAAAGGTCGCAAAATATTCCAAAAATGAAGTGAATCTATAGAAAACTGAGACTGGAAGTAACACTGTACCTCCTAGCTTTAACACACCCTTTGAAAACTCCCCTTCTGTCAGTATTTGTGTGATCGGATACTGGGATAAAAGAAAAGTGTCATTAACCCACAGAACAAAGTTGTTAATCGTTGTAAATATTAGTACAGACTCGAGAAGACTGAGTCTTGAATGAGGGTCAGACTTCTTACATCGATTAGCGTGCAAAAGAAATACTACCTGAAGATAGTCTTGGAAAATGCTCAGGATGTTAGTGTAGATAAGAGGTTTAGAGTTGTTATTTTCACCATGTATAACTTTGCAGATATGTATCATGAATAAACCAAAGACTGACGATAAATAAACATATTCCCGACCACGAAGTGAGTTCATTGGGATGTCAGGACTGCAGTAGTTGACTAAGCAGAAGAATCCGACAAAGTTCGCGATTAACATCAACACTTTCAAAATTAATTCATACCAATCGGCGATGTAACGAAGGGTTGAAGTCTTTTCTGAATGCATTGCCATAGCAGCGTAGACCATGACAAATCCGAAGCCGGTTATCAGACTTACAGCTACAGTCATCATTTGACTAAAGTTTCGTCTGTTCCCGTAATATAAAGGCTCAGTGGTTAACACATTGGACAGAAGAGGTGATCGCTCAGAACTTTCTGGTGTGTCCATGTCTGATAAGTTTGTTTCCTTACTTCGACCGCTCGACACAGAGGGTGACCATATTTCAACAATGACCGTGCTGGACAGAAGTATAAACTCTGTGAACATAGGAGTAAGAATACTCTTAGAATTATCCATTAGAGTCTTCATTGTGCTGTTTCTTTGTAGACAAGAAGATGCGTTCATTTCAGGATGGATATCAATAAAAGTATCAAATGTATTCCCTATTATTGAGACAAATAACTGAATACATACATTTGCAGTTAAAAGCAGGAACATCGACCATTTAACCGATGTACAATGTTTCAATCTGAACGTTGAAAAGTATGTGACGAAAATCGTTTCCACGAGAAACATGATGACTAGTAAAGCATTGAAACAAATGATAGTGTACCAATAAAGTCCTTCAACATAGTGTAAGGAACATTCTATCAGCTTGCCGAGAAAGAGAGCTGAAAACAGACTCGCTCCAAGGCCGAAAATCCAGAGGAAAAACACCTGAAGTTTTGATGTATTTGTACTTCTAGCTCTAACAACATATGCGAGGCCACCCTTCTGTACTAAACACATAAATACAATGCAAACTGCTATAGCACCGGCCATGAGTGCCGACAGGGAAAGCAAAACAACTCCCAGCCGAGTATCTGCGCCTTCGTGTATGGTCTTGGTAGCGCTGAACACTATGATCAGTGCAAAGAAGCAGAGAAATAGAACACGGAACGAGATGCTACAGTCGTAATACCAGGACCCATTCCGCCGTCTTCGGTAATTTCCACTTGTCAAGGGTAAGATGACAATTGATGACAGCAGTTTCCCACACCAGGAATCCATTGTATACAAAACCTGGAATATAGGATAAACATTTTTGATGGATTATTTATCATTTCAGGATTTATTTTTTATATTGCTGTTTTATGGACTGATGAAAGAAAGTGAAGTTTGTGCAAATGAAGTGAACCCCGCCAATTTCACAATTTTAAAGATCGCGCCATCCAAATGCACTTTCAGCTGACCCTGCAAAACAATGGAGTATCGCCTAAGATTGGCGGGAATGGTAGATTAATAACCACAAATACAGAGAGATTCCGCATAGTGGTAAAATTGTCGAGGAAAATGAATGGAAATACTTGATTTACAGCATTTAATTGCTCTGGGAAACATGCAATGTAGTAGAAAAATCGTTTATCTTTCCAACGGTACATGATTTGTAATCTATATAAAGCATTGCCTGAATGCCGACCCTTGCAAGGGTCTCTAGTGTTAGGGGTTTTTATACAGGGTGGAGTTCTGACTAACACCCTCTTCCTCAGTCGACTCTTAGGTTGTAAAGATTTTGAATTTGTATGTAAAGGTGCACTTTGCTTATTGGTTTTTTGCCCAATCGTATTAGAACTATTAGCAGAAATGTTGTCCTGAAAATTCATTTTCAGATATATTGACAATGTCTTATAATCAGATACTAAGAATGACAAAACATCGGATATATTTCTACGCGTGTTAAAACCTTTTATTTACATCTTTGCTTACAACGAAACCAAAAAGGAGATTTTCACGCAGAGTATGATTAACCTGATGATATCATCTATGTATTGTGATTTTTTTTATCTTATCGCAAAGAAACGTTAGATCCAGAATGACAAATTCATAACGTAGCAATACTGAACCATTATAACATTACAAGAACAGCCGGCAAAGGATCCACAACATAAGATAAACTGTACACATACCAGTATAGTACCACCTGGACCTGTATCATTGGTGTAAGAAAATACATGATAAACAATGTTAAGATATAGATTACTGACAGGCTATGATGATAGGCCGCTATAATAAAATTGCCACCGTTGGTAACTTTGATATGTAAACTTCGCCAGTGGTCGGACAAGGTATACTGTACACCTGTGATGGCCCATTTAAGGAATATCGTAGGTTTTATAACTGAACAAAAAGATCTAACCAAAATTGGGACAAAAAATGTTCAACATGTACTTCAAACAAGTTTCTTTGTCAACAATCGATATCTGGTTCAGATGAAGTAGTTTTCTTATCTTGTGTGATTTATGATAAGATAAAAAACATTTCTACTGCACTATGAAGATAAGAGAAGAAAATATGACCTTCTGCTTTGATTCAGGAAGAAATATTAACTTCCAGGAGGTAAAATACTTTTCTTACTATTTGTAATGTACACATTTCCCCCGTTCGTTCGGAAGTTTCCTGTTCAGATAAATTCACATAATCGCTTCGTTATTGATCACAAAGACCAGGGTGTGCAAATGATTACAAAGCTGTACAAAATACACACAAGTAATTAGCGCCGTTAAATACCAGACAATTAAGTTTACTGGTTCGATAGTAATGTCATGTTCCAAATAGAAAATAAAGTTAACAAGAGCGAGGCATACTAACGCACCGTACATGGAAATAGAGGTAACACCGGGAGTGGTTGAGGGGATATGGTATTTCTTTCACTCGAGAGTTACAAAACAAAGTAACGAACGTGAAAGTAATGACATATAGTACAATCACGAGTTAGTGCGACCTGTTTCTACCACGATCAAAAACATTCTGTAGTTGAACTCACCTGTTCTATACCCCCGTGTGTTTTGTGTACATCATGTGTTGATGTGACCTTTGATGAAATACCGCTACCTGATATGCAAAACTGACAATGCCAAACTGATATGGGGACTCATTACATGTAATAACTAGAAATTGTACAAAAGACAGAGTTAAATAAAATATAGTTAGATACAGTAGATCTACACAATGAATTGAACTACATCATACAGCTGTCTTTTCATTCTACGGCTCATCAGTCGTGCTAAAGACCTAAATTTTGGGGTCTGAGAGGCAACTGAGGAAAATCAAAGGAATCAACAGAAACGTCAAAATCTGAAAAGGGAGGTGCAGCAGCCCCATACTTAAATATAATTAGTAATTTTCCA